TATGCATTCTGTGAACACTTGGAAGTCACACTAAAATTATATTTCCTGACAGCCAGTAGCAAGATCTCAGAGACCTGGGTTCAAATCTCCACTCACCCATGAAGCTCACTGGTAACTTTAGCCCTGACCTGGATAGCTCAGTCTAGCGCAGTCTCGTCAGATCTTGGAAGCTAAGTAACGTCGGCCTTGGCAAATACTTGGATAGGTGGACCTCCAAGGAACACCAGGGTTGTGACGCAAAGGCAGGCAATGGCAAACCACCGCTGAAATGTCTCTTGCCTTAGAAACAAGTCTAGCTCACCACCTAGTGGTGCATAATGCTAAAAGAGCTAGAACAGGCATCAAACTCATTTGTTACAAAGACCGGATCTGACGTAAATGTCACTTTGTCAGGCTGGGCGATGTGTGCCATAAAATATAACACGAGGTACCGGAGATATAAACCTTACAAAGATTATTGCAGATGCCAAATGGCAAGCTTGATTGGATTAGGTGTGATAGGCAGAAGGGTAGTAGGCGTGGAGCTATCAGCATTGGTAATGAGACAGGAAACCTAGGTCTCGGTTTGGTTCAGGAGGCTTCAGTCCAAGAGGATGCAAAGAATAAATGGAAATAAGTCTGAAGAAGTGAGCAGTGACTCATGGAAAGCACATACTCTACCACAAATTATGTTAGTAGGCGTGGAGCTTTCAGCATTGGTGATGAGACAGGAAACCTAGGTCTCGGTTTGGTTCAGGAGGCTTCAGTCCAAGAGGATGCAAAGAATAAATGGAAATAAGTCTGAAGAAGTGAGCAGTGACTCATGGAAAGCACATACTCTACCACAAATTCTGTTAGTCTTTAACGTGCTACTGGACTCTTGCTCCCTTCCACTAATAAAGAAAACAAGCTGTGCTCTTAGGTTTCTCCCCTCCCCATCTGTTAGAACTGGAGAGGGGGATCTCTCCAAGTGCCATGGGAGTTACTTGGGTGAAGGGTGGCATTAAAACGTACGTAATAAATATGCTAGACAAAAAGGTTGTAGGTTAATCTTCTTTTTCTCTCCTTCAGTCTGCCAAGCTAGGAGGATGCCAGTTCGTACATTTAATGCCGGACCGCCAACAGAAGGGAGCACTTCTGGCTCCTAAGCAACGCAGTCTGAGAGAACCTTAGGGTCACCATTGGTGGGTTGGGAAATTCTGGGAGATTTGGGGGTGGAGAGGGCAGGGTCTGGGGAGAAGAGGGAGTTCAGTGCGGTGTAATGCCATAGAATTCACCCCCCCCCCCCCAAAAGCAGCCATTTTCTTCAGGGGAACTGGTCTCTCTAGTGTGGGGATTAGTTGTAATTCTGGGAAGTCTCCAGGCCCCACCTGGAGACTGGCAACCCTAGGGGAACCTTTTCCACAGACAGGATGAGAGGCATCTGAGAGTGTTCAGAGAAAGAACTCTGTCCTTTGCCTGTAGAGGTCTGGGCTGGATTGGCAGGTCCCCCCCCC